TTCCCTGCATGCCGCACTGGAAAAAGGTTTCAATAGCCGAATCACGATGGACAGCATTCTCAGCCTTATACACTAAGCTGCTTCCTGGAATAAAAGATTCACTGTCAAAACATAACCAAGGGAACAAAATAGCAGAATCAATCACTGAAAAATTCAATTCCCGGGAACTTCTGTTTTTAGACTAATGAGCAAACAAACAAACAAACAAATTATAAGTTTTTGCACTTTCATAGGCCTACTTTGACACACAGAGAAACAAAAAGTATCACTTGACTATCTATAAATTTAGCAACTTCAGTTTTGAATATGTACATGTTACGTGAATAGTACATTAATTTTTGTAAACAATTAATATTAGTATAATATATGGAATATCTAATATGTAATTTACCACATGACATATGATATTCATTAACATTACAAACTGTGTGCATTTATAGGTAGTGATAGCATAATTTGTGATACAAACATGCTGGTTAGTTATATATCCACAATATCCATAAACAATAGTGAACTTATCCATTAACAACATTATAAGAAACTGGCTGAATATCATGAGAAAAAATTATACTTGAAAACTTATGCAGACCTAAGATACAAGTTTGTTTGCTTTGGAATATAAAGTTAACTCACACATTGAATAAAGAACAAATTAACACTACTAACATATATGTACTTTTATATTCCAGAAATATTAATCAAAACAGGCCACATCAACAATGCAAGAAAGAAAAATAAAGACGTGATTATTCATATTCTCAAATTGCTAACACTTCCTTTGAAATCGTCACATCCATAATATAACTGACATATATTTACAGACTAAAGAAACCAATAATAATAATAAAAAAAGCATTCCAGTCAACAAAGCAATCAACATCACTTCCTTTAACCCCAAGGACATATACTACACACTTCACAATATCACTTTTTCTCTACATAATTTTGTGCATACTTGCCATCCTTCAACTGGTACTCTCTCTGCCGAGTCAATTGGGAATTTAGGAGAGGTTTGGTGTGTGCCTTGTCAGTCAGGTGTTTTTGGATGATAGAAGACATGCGCATTGCGGCATCTCTTGTTGCATTTCCGTGCACTAACATTTCTATATGGAGATTTGAAAGGAACCTTGGGATGAAGGCCTCCAGAGCCTCCACTGTCAACTCTGAGGAAAAATGTGAAATGAAAAAAATTAGTATCACTCTCAAATGGTTGTTCTGTGAAATGAAAAAAATTAGTATCTCTCTCAAATGGCTGATCTGTGAAATGAAAAAAATTGTATCACTCTCAAATGGTTGTTCTATGTATCTGATGTACATAATGTAAAATACATTTGTATAAAAGCAATTACTTGAAATGCAATTACTTGAAATCCCCAAATTTGCCCTGGTGAAATCTGAAAAGCTGGAGGCTTGCAGTTCCTTGTGGTTAAGTAACCCTTCTATGTAATTTTTCTACATATTCCTCATTACTCATCAAATTCCTGTCACTTTAACTTCCATTCTCTTTTTATCAAAAACAAATTTCATACCTGCAATTTTCAGCTACTCTAATCCTCCCCAATTCTTTATCTGCTGTGTACTAGGTATAATTTCCACCTCCTCCATACTGGGATTGTTAAGAAAAATTAAAATGGCTGTGAATCTGAGAGTGTCTGTATGGGTGTGTCTGTGGGTGTGTCCGTGTGTGGGTGTGTCTGTGTGTGGGTGTGTCTGTATGTGGGTGTGTCTGTGGGTGGGTGTGTCTGTGGGTGGGTGTGTCTGTGGGTGGGTGTGTCTGTGGGTGGGTGTGTCTGTGGGTGGGTGTGTCTGTGGGTGGGTGTGTCTGTGGGTGGGTGTGTCTGTGGGTGTGTCTATGGGTGGGTGTTTGAGTATGGATGTGTCCACCGTGTTAGCATAAGTATGTGTGTTTACCTGAAGTGGCATTCAAAAGCTCCTCTTTTGTCCAACCATGTTCTGCCAGCAATAAGGATGTATAAAACACAACATGTTGATGTGGTTGATCTGCTCTGAAGTTACGTAAGGCACGGACATACTGCCGAAGAAATTACACAATTAATTACATATATTAGGAAACAGCATAAAATCAAGAAGCAGAAAGATAATAATAAAAAAAATATAAATCTTTTATGTTTTTATCAACATGTTGTATATCAAATTTCTAGAGGGTATAGAGTAAAAAGCTCAATTCTATAACACTGAACTTACAGCATCTTTAAGAATCTCAAAACGCTTCGGATCAACAGTGAATGTAGTCATGCGTTCCATGATTTTCTCAAGCAGTACATGTTGTTTGTCATTGTAACCCTTGACATTCAGCTGCAATACAATAAAGATTAATTCATCATTATTATTGTGTTTAATAAGAAGTTCAAATACAAGATCATTAACGAAAATATTTTTTCCACATTAATCAACTTAATTTACTTATATATGTAACCAACTATGATTACAAATTAATATGTAAGATACTTACGGTAAGACCATACTTAGTATTGGACAAGGAATAGACAAGTCCAGCCAACTCAGCAGCATAAGTGTATTCGGTGAGTGCATCCCGAAACAGTTGTGCAAACATGTGCAGTAGGTTGGTGTGGTGAGGGTCCAGGTAAGCCAAAGGACTGAAATAAAAATGGATAAACAAATGAAGCTTTTCAAAATATTACAAAATCTATCAGGAAACCAATTAAATAAAAAGCCTGTCATTAAACAACTTATATCCATGGCATTCCCTGTGCATTCAATCTTATTTGCCAAAATTGTGGAACGGCTGTCAAAAACTGGTGGGCCTCTTTTTCATTACTATTGAGATGAATGAAGTGTCTAATGATATATGTCTTATATATTAGCATTCCTCTTATAAGCTCCATCCTGAGCCAATCATAAAGTCTTGCTTCTTGCCTCTTTCTTCTTATAAACTGAACATGAAGTAGTAATTACCGCTAAACAGATTATACTACTATATATCAGTCACCTCCTAAAATATCATTTGTCTTTATACTATAAATATACAGATACATATAAACACTTTAAAATACTTATTCTATACTTATACATGAGAGAAATATGATGTTGCTATATATGCGTATTATTTGCATGTTTACAGAAACCTACTAAAATTATCCCCATTTTCATTCATGTCAAAGGATATCAAAGTCTCACAAAGCTTTACATATCTTGGTAATGTAGTACATGACTAGGCTACAAACCAGGAAGTCAGTAGATGAACTAGTCTGAAAACAGGAGCTATGAACATGCATCACAACAGTGAGTGGATGTTACCCAACAATAACTACACTGCAATGGTATACTGTCACAGTTTTGCATTTTATGCAAAAAGTCATCTTTTTTTCCCTTATAAAATCACTTTTAAATATCTTTGAAAAAATGTATAATGAAATATATTGAAAGTGTTTTTTTTTCCACTAAATGTCCATGTAAAATAGGGGTGCGTCTTTTATGCTAGCAAATAAGGTATTTAGTTATATGAGGTTCAATAATTGTAACACAATTCATATTAATATATTCATACATATGAAAACTAATTTCATCCACAAAGATGTGTTATCGGTATACTAGATGGAGACCTAAATTGTCTTTCACTCCACCAACCACTTTTGCCAACTAGAAAACTATGCTGACCTAGTAATCCTCAACTATCCTACTCATCAGTACTGTAGCATCAAATATGTGAAAAGTCAGTACTGAACTATCCTAACAAATTTGAATATCCTCCCTCACTTCTCCTTTGCTTACATCAGTTGGTGTTGGGATTGTACAATGGTGTCCCATCTCCAGGTATACAGACTAATCCATGCTTTCAGATACACAGAAAGAAAGAAAAAAAAAAAGAAAAGAAAAGAAAACTAAGAAAAACAGAGTACCTCCATGGTGTCTTTCAAGAAATGGACATATTCAGTTCTAAGGTTCAATATGTTTTTATTCCAATAAAAGTTACTCCTAAATGTTCCAGACATCACATTTCTCTTTAAAACAGTTAAAATGTAAATATTCTTTGACAGTATAACTCATATTCTCATATGCAATGATAATCCACAGTCCATGATTATCTTAGATATTTTAAAAACATCATGCACTTATAATATCATAATATTTTAAGGCTAGCTTCAACACACCAAACCAGATAAAGTAACTGTAATACAAGCAAAACTGAAGGTTGGATAACCAAAGATGGCCATGACACTAATCTGGAGAGGGGAAGTTGGGCTGAAGACAAAAGTGATGAAACAAGCTTATAAATAACATACCTAAAAAGTTCTGCATACACAACAGATTTTGGCAGCTTGAATTCGTCATCTTGCTTGAACCAAATTCTGGCCAAGGGAGACTCACTAATCATCTCTGGCAAAGTCTTTCCATTCTGAAAAACACACAAACCAATTAGGAGAGTGTATGACACTTACTTGTGTCATATTTCTATTTTTTTTCTTCAAAATAAAAGATGATGCAAGTAACCAAGTCACATCATATATGTTAAAAAACTCAAATAATAGAAAGAAAAAAAAAATCTATGGACCTAAACATACAATCTTTACCTTTTCATCTGTGAACAACTCAAAGTTTGTAGGAACAAACTCATTTTTGGTCGGTAGCTTCAACAACTCATTGAACCCAGCTTTTTCCCACTGTTCAAGTTGTTCATGCTCAATGTTATCCATCTTGTACTGTGTCCCATACCATTTCTCAACATCCGTTGCCTTCTCTGCTAGAGCTTTCCCTACCACAGCAATTCTGGAATTCACATAAATAGACCATATAAGTATAATGGAGTTTGAAGCAAAACATGTTTAAATCGCAGGAAAGAGAACACTAAGGTCTTCAACATCTAGAAAATTATTTCATATATTACCGAATATTGGTAGGCTGAAGATGAGTTAGAACCATGTCAATAAGATGTGGCTGGTATTCACTCAACAGGTATCCACCACACAGCACCTCTTCCAGTGGGTAATACTGAAAGGAAAATTTTCATTACGTACAAA